TGTACCTCTCACGCTTGCCCTTTACAAAGTTTCCTATAAAAGAAGCCTTAGAAAGTTGCCCTAAGCATCAGAAAGAAAGAAAGAAGCCTGAGACACCAAAAGCACATGTCACTCTAGAGCATCTGGACTCCCTCTCCTTTGTGTGAATGTGGATCCTGCTCTATTGTTTGCTCTCCTGAATACATTTTTGCCTGTGCCTCTTTTGATGCATCCTGAAATTCTTTTCTGCAATGTAAGTCAAGAAACCACCAGAGCTGACTTGAGATTCCCTTTTCCTTTCTTGGGGTCTTCTCGGACCCCATGTGGTGACAGCCTGAATTCATACCTGGGAAGAATCTCCAGAACCCCCTCCGTGTAGGTTGGAAGTGTCACCTCCTTGCTGTAGGGAGTGGGAGTTAAGGAGCTGGACAGCTCTGGTGGTCTCTCATCTTCCCTGGCCAATTGCCCTGGATTATTTTTCCTCATCCAAAGCCTCATCTTGTTCCTGCTTTAACTTTGAGACAGTCTGACAGATTCACAAAGCTCTCACAACATACCTTGATTAGGTGCCTTGCCCGTCTTGCCATACATTACCTTCCAGAACTTGTCTCTCTGTTTATGGAATCAGACTTACTTTCACCTTATGCTCTTAAGAGCTGCCTTAGTGGAGGTTGAGGATCAGGGACCGAGTTTCATTCTCTTCTTTCGGAAATTGCTCCAAAAAGTACCTCGGCCAACTTTCCACTTATGACCCAGATCATTCTTCCTTGTGGCCCAGATTTAAGTGCAAAATGTTTTGCCATGTTTCTTTGCCTAGTCTTTCTCTCTGGCCAAATCTTTCTATCCCAACAATGGACAAGGGAGAAAGAGGTAGAAGCCACATCACACACTTGATCTGGAAGAAAGAGTTCTCTTAGAGGATCTCATGGATTATTTGTGGTATGATGTAAGCCTTGGGCTGGGCCCCAAAACCCTAGATCCTGGCTGTGGTTCTGCCACAAATAAGCCATGAAACCTTGAGCAAGACATAAAATCATAAAATTTTGAGTCTCTGTGGAGGATTAAGAGGTCATCTAATCAACTTTCTTCTTTTACATATACTGGAACTGAGGCCTAGAGACAGAATATAACTTGTTCTCAGTCATGGGATTGGTCATGGATTTTACATGCAAGACTATGCTACCAATGCCCTCTCTATTACCTCATGCCAAGGACCTCCGTTTCCTTGCCTGCACAAGCACAGCAAGGATTATGGATAAATGTGCTCATGGTGATGAAGGAGTTTGGAAAACAGAAAATATTATTCAAATGAGAGGTTATTAACTTCACTGGCAATCTCCCCTGGGAACTGGCTCACTGCTGTGTCCCAGTGGAAGGTCAGAGCCTAAGGGAGGGCTAAGCTGGCTCCTCCACTCTCCTGGGGCTGGTGAACTTTTAATGGCCGCTCTGAACTGAGAGCCAGGGCTGTATAAGCTAATAAGGCTCACTGGAACCACTTTAAAAGTTGTTCTGCTCAAAAATGCTGGCAGTAAACACCAGATCTCAACAACAAATGTGTTAAGGGATGTGGAGTTATAGATTGTTTCTCTTCTTTCTCTATTTTATAAATGATTACAAAGTCATTTATTGTTTTGTCATATCATACCTGGTCCATTGTGGATAATTGGCAAATTTTTTTTTTTTTTGGTACTTGGGATTAAACTCAGGGGCACTCAACCACTGAGCCGCATCCCCAGCCCTATTTTGTATTTTATTTAGAGACAGGGACTCACCAAGTTGCTTAGCACCCCACTTTTGCTGAGGCTGGCCTTGAACTTACAATCCTCCTGCCTCAGCCTCCAGAGCCACTGGGATTATAGGCGTGTGCCACTGCTCCGGGGTGATACTTAGCAAATTTTTGATAAAGATGGAATTCATAATTTAAGATCAAATTTCTTGAGGAGCAGGAGAGGTAGGTCTGGGTATACCTCTATGCTCAATGCTGGTTATTTTTTATGAAATGCACTCTGTTCTCAGAAGCTCACAGTTTGATTAAGAGAGAGAGGCCCAGAAACAGACGTGCACTGAAGAGTGAAGGCAGCTCCACTGGAGAAATGGCCAAAGGTTAAGGGGCTGGGCCATTAGCCATGATCTGGGAGGGAGGAGGAGCTGGTGTTAAGGAGAGAGAAGTGTGTCTCTGGCAGGAAGAGTAGGACCCCAGAGTGAAATGGCAACAGCATAAATCCCAGAAACCCCAAGTGCTTCAGCAAGGCTGGAGCCCAGGGGAGATGGTGGGAGAGGAGGGTGGGAGAAGATTCTAAAGAGCTTCGAGGGACCAGCTGGATAAATTTAGATTTTATCCTTAGGACATAAGAAACCAATGGAGGATATTATGCAGGCAAATGACCCACCGGTGAAGGTCACCATGGCAACAAGGAGGAGGAGATGGGAGGGCTGAGACTGGACATATGGGGAGCAGCTTGTTTGTTGATTCATAGCCCATCTTGTTTCAAAAAAGACTTAATGAAGCCAGCAAAGGGCCTATAACTTTACCTGTGTCCCTGACTCATCCTGCTCCACTTCAGTCCCTTTAAAGATAGAAAGGAATGAGAGGATAAAAGTGGTGAGAAAGAAAAGGAGATGGGATTTTTTTTAAGGAGGACATAAAGGTAACTAAGAAAAATCAGGGGATCAAAGTCGATGAGTCAGCTGTGGCTCCCTGGCTCTAAGCTATCAAGATATTGACTGGTTTCCTGAACGTGGGATGCTCTGGGTCTTTCCCTCATGGGCCAAGGTGTTTTCCTTGGCTTGCATCATCGTGCATGACCCCACGCAATCTCATTCAAAGGCTGGAAGTGAAGAAGGTCGTGGGGGCAGTTTCTCTCTCCTGTTGCATCTCGTGCCTTTAATCATGAAGAGAAGTCTCCAGCAACTCCCCAGTGACACCCCTCTGTCTTATGGGTCATTACAGGATATATCACATAAATACGCCCAGCTATTATTTTATCTGAGAAAATGAATGCCTGAATTTTCCAGGTACTTTGGTATAAATCAGACAAGGGAATCATTGCTGGGTAGACAACTTGCTGTGTCCACCATGTCGTCATAAAGTACCCAACAAGAAGATCGAGCCTTATGGGTCAAAACAAGAGACTCTTGAAAATGATGACAAGCCTGCCTTGTACAGAAAAGTTCTTGTAATGTTAGGGGTCACAAACTCAAATGCAGGTAATGTAAATGGTAGGAGGACATAGGTAGGAACTTCTTTGACTAAAAGAGGACTAAAAGTGCATTTCATTCTCCTCCTTAACCTAGTGCAAAACTCTAGCAGATAACTTAACGAGAAGAAAAACAAGATTTTTTTTTCCCTTTGTAGAAATAACCACCCTAGAAAAATAGTCCTCGATATATTGGCACTTGGTTCTCCAGAGAATTACTGATTTCCCATCTGATGCTCTAAAGTAAAATCCATCAGTATAAAAGCCCTGCCTGTATGTGGGGGTTCTAAGCAACCTCCTACGCGGATACAGACAACCAGACATCACAGTAATTTAAAGAAGGCCTCCAACATGGAAGAAAAACAAAATAAATACAAAAATGAATAAAAGAAAGCTTAAAATGATGAAAGGAACATAAGACGCCTATTTTTTTAAAATTGTGGTTTATTTGTTCTTGACTGTGTTTCTTTTTTTTTAATATTTATTTTTTAGGTGTAGATGGACACAACACAGTGCCTTTATTTTTATGTGGTGCGGAGGATCGAACCCAGGCCCTGCCCGTGCTAGGCGAGCGCTCTACCGCTGAGCCACAATCCCAGCCCCAAGACGTCTATTTTTTTTTTTTAAAAAGTTCATTATTAGTTTCTTCAAAGGAAAGTAAGAAGATACAATATCTATAATATAAGTACATGATTGTATGAAAAAAAACTAGAAAACAAAAAAAGAGCTCTGTTTGCTTGGGAATTAAAATATATTTACAGAAACTTTAACTTCAACCAAAGTATTGTAAGATCAAGTTGAGGAAATATCCTCTGACCACAGAATAAAAAATTTTTAAATGATAAAGAACTGGAGATAATATACGGGAGGCTTAGAAATTATTTCAGTAAGAATTTTCAAAAGAATGGCAACTACAGAGGTGAATTAACTACCAAAGAGCTTACACAAGAAATTTCCCAGATTGAAAGAGCAAACAAAACACTATCAGAAGAAATAAAATGCACACTAAACACTTTTGCATGAAATTAGAAAACACTAAGGACAAAAAAGAAAGCCCTAGAAACCTTCCGAGATGAGGAACAGATCACCCTCAAAAGAACAAGCAGCAGCAGAACAACTTCAGATTTCTCAAAAGCAAATTGGATGCTAGACGAAAAAATCAAGAAATACATTCAACATTCTGAGGGAAAAGGTTTTCAATATATAATTCTAATCTCAGCCAAAATACCAATTAGGTATAAGAGGATGGTGAAAGGACTCCCAATTGTCTCTCTCTCTCTTTTTTTTTTTAAGAGAGAGACAGAGAATTTTTTAATATTTATTTTTTAGTTTTCGGTGGACACAACACCTTTATTTTATTTTTTTTTTATGTGGTGCTGAGGCTCGAAGCCAGTGCCCCGCGCATGCCAGGCGAGCCCACTACCGCTTGAGCCACCTCCCCAGCCCTCAATTGTCTCTTTCTTTCCTCAAATATCTAAATAGACACTCATGTGTAAGAATCTGTGAGAATTTTAAAAAAGCAAGGAAGGCCACTCTCACCATTCCTATGTAACATTGTAACAAAATTCCCAACCAGTGAATTAAGGCAATAAAAAGAAATAAGAGGTCTATAAAGTATCAGTATCCTCAGACAATATAATTGCCTATGTTGGAATTTCAAAGGAATTTGCAAAAATACTGCTAAAATTAGTAAGTGTGTTTATCAAGATGGCAGAATGCCAAGAAGGGACAATTAAAAATAAAACTATGAAGAAAATCATTTAATATCACTTTTAAAAGGAAGAACATAGGTATATAGCTAACAAAGTATGTATAGGATGTATGTGCTGAAAACTACAAAATGTTGATCAAAGAAATAAAAGAAGAACTTAATAAATGAGAAAGCATACCATGTTCCTGGACAGAAGATTTAATATTGTTAAGATGTGATTTATCTCCCAGTTAATGTATGTTTGGATACAATACACTGTCGGTAAAAAAATCACAAGTTTTTTGGTTATTTTAAGATGTATGTGAAAAGGCAAAAGAACTAGAAGAGCCAAAACAATTTTGAAAAGAACAAAATGGGTATTGTGTCCATGTACATTAGGCATTACGGAAATATAGTACCACACGCCTATCAAAAAGGCTAAAATTACAATAAAACAAAGCAAAATGCTGACAAGTGATGTGAAGCAACTGGAACTCCCAGACATTGCAGGTGGGAATATCAGATGATATTGCCACTCTGGAAAACAGTGAAGCAGCCTTACGTAGTTAAATGTATACTTACCATGTGTCTTGGCAATTCCTTGATATTAACCCTAGAAAAATTAAAACATACATTCACACAACAACTTATACATGAATACTCATAGTAAGTTTATAATTAAAAAAAAACTGGAAAATAGCTCCTTGTTCTTGGGTGAATGGATGAACATACCATGGGACATCTGTGAAATGCGATCCTACTCAGTGCTATAAATCAATGGAGTGTTCACACCTGCAACCACTTGGATGAATCTCAAAGGCATCTGCTGAACAAAAGAAGCAAGTTTCCAAAAGTTATATATTGTCATTCTGTATGATACATAACCAATTGGTGCTTTCCAGGGCTTAGGGATCGGGAGGAGAGTGGCCACAAAGAAGTAAAATGAGGGAAATTCTTGAGGTGGTGAAACTGTTCATATTCTATGGAGATTACATGAGGGAAGATGTGTTAAAATTCACAAACTGTATGTCGAAGAAGTCAACTTTAGGGCTGGAGACGGGATTCAGTAGAAGAGCACTTGCCTAGCCTGTGCAAGGCCCTGGGTTCAATCCCTAGAACTGGACAAAGGACAAGGAAAAAGTCAACCTTACTGTGTAAAAGTTAATTTTACTCTATTAATTTAAAATTTAAAAATAAAAAACTGGGATAATAAAGATATTTTCGGATATGTCATGCTTAGAAGTTTACTCCCTACACACTGTTTCTCAAAAATATACTGAAAGATATGCTTTCATGATGTCATGATGAAGGGAATAAATAAGAGGAAAATGTTGATTCCTAAATGAGAATCAGCAAAAGAGAAAAACAGGAACATTCCAAAGACAGGGTGTGACAGCAGTCTGTTGAGTGCAGGCAAAAAGGGTTACATTACCGCAGATAGTTTAAAAAACAATAAGAAAACTTACTAAAAAAAAAAAAAAGAAGAAGTCTTGTTTTCCTATCACTGTGCACTAGCAATTCTAAACAATGTCAATGATAAAATATTCTTTTCCCAAAAACAAATATTCCTTCCTCCCCTAAAGTCATTGTTTGTCCAAATTATAAATAATTTCTGAAGTAGCAAGGTGTAGGGGCACATACCTGTAATCCCAACAATTTGGGAGTCTGAGGCAGGAGGCTCACAAGTTCAAGGCCAGTCTCAGCAATTTAGCAATGCCCAAAGCAACGTAGCAAGACCCTGTCTCAAAATAAAAAATAAAAAGGGCTGGGGATGTGGCTCAGTGATTAAATGCCCCTGAGTTCAATTCTTGGTATCCAAAAAAAAAAAAAAAAAAGATATCTTGAGACAAACAAAAATGGAACAAAGAAGTTCTAAGAGGGAAATTTATTGTAAGAAATGCCTATATCAAAAAAAGAGAAAGATCTCAAATAAATAGTTTAATGTCACTCCTCAAGGAACTAGAAAAAGAAGACCAAACTAAGTCAACAGTTAGCTAAAGGAAGGAAATAACAAAGAGCAGAAATAAGCGACATATAAACTATAAATACAATTGAAAAGATCCATGAAATTTAGAGTTGTTTTTGTAGAAAATTTCTAGAACAATAAAAAAGAGAGAAGAGCATAAAGTAAAATCAGAAATGAAAGACATTTTAAATAGTACCATAGCAATACAAAGGGTCTTAAGAGACTACTATAAATAATTATATGCCAACAAATTAAATCACCTAGAAGAAATGGATAAATTCCTAACTACATACAACCTACTAAAATGGAATCATGAAGTAATATGAACTATAAACTAGTCAATAATGAAAAAAGATGTGAAATCAGTAATAGTTTTCCATCAAAGAAAAGCCCATAACCAGATATTTCACTAGATATTTCTGCTACCAAACATTTTACAAATAAATAATATCAGTCTTTCTGAAACTCTTCCAAAAAATTGAATAGGAGGAAATACTTTCAAACTCATTCTAGAAGGCCGGCATCACCCCAATATCAACACCAATACACTAAAAGAAAACTACAGGCAAATATCACTGATGAGCATTGTGCAAAACTCCTCACAAAATACTACCAAACTGTATTCAACAGTACATTGAAAGGATCATCCACTGTGATCAGGTGGAAGTTATCCCTGGAATACAAGGTTGGTTCAACAAATGCAAATCAATAAAAATGAGTCACCATATTAACAAAAGGAAGAACACAAACCTTAGGATGATCCCAATAGATGCAGAAAAAAAACATTTAACAAAATTCAATATCCTTTTATGATAAAAGCTCTCAACAAATTAGGTACAGAAGGAATGTTCCTCAATACACTAAAGGCTAGATATGGCAGACCCATTAACATCTAACATACTGAGTGGTGAAAAGTTCAAGGCTTCTCCTTTAAGATCAGGAACAAGACAAGGATGCCCTCTCCCACTGCTTAGCCAGAGCAATTAGGCAAGAGAGAGAAATAAGAGGCATGCAAATAAGAAAGGTTGAAGTAAAACTGTCTCTGTTTACTGATGACATTATTTTATATGTAAAGACTTACCCTAAAAAACTCTCAGAACTGATAAACAAAATTTAGTAAAGTTTCAGGATACAAAATCAACTTTTAAAAATCATTAACATTGGGGCTGGGGCTGTGGTTCATTAGTATAAAATACGTCTCGCATGTGTGAGGCCCTAGATTCGATCCTCAGCACCACCTAAATAAAATAAAAAGGTATTGTGTCCACCTACAACTAAAAAAATATTTTAAAAAATCATTAACATTTCTATCCACTAACAACCAACTGTCTGAAAAAGAAATTAATACACACATAATTTTTTAAAAAGAACATAATCCCACTTATAATAACAAATAATAATAATAAAATACATGGGAGTAAATTTAGACAAGGACGTGAAAGATCTTTTTACTGAAAACTATAGGACATAGATGAAATTGAAGATAACACAAATAAATGGAAAGATACCCCATGGTCTTGGATTGCTAAAATTAATATTGTGTTTTAATAATATTAATTAAATTAATCAACTTAATAAATTTGATTATTGACTTAAATTGATAGATTTAATTAATGGATTATTAATTAGATTGCATACCACCCAGAGAGATCTACAAATTAAATGCAATTTCTATCAAAACTTCAATGTCATTTTTTAACAGAGAGAGGAAAAAATTCAAAATCTGTATGGATCCCAAATAGATCCCAAATAGTCAAAGCAATTTTGACAAAAAAAAAAGAATAAATCTGGAAGCATCATCCTACCATATTTCAAAATATATCACAAAGCTATGGTGCTGGCATTAAAAACAGACATACTGGGCTGAGGTTGTGGCTCAGTGGTAGAGCACTCGCCTAGCACATGTGAGGCACTAGGTTCAATTCTCAGCACTACATAAAAATAAGTAAAATAAAGGCATTGTGTCCATCTACAACAAAAAAAAAATATTTAAAAACAACAACAAACAGACATACTGACCAATAGACTAAGACAGAGAGTCCAAAATAGCCCATACATCTATAGCCTGTTGATCTTGGACAAATGTGCCAAGAACACACAATAGAAAAAGAACAGTCCCTTCCATAAATGATACTGGGGAGACTGGAAAAAGAAAATATAGGGGGGAAATCCCTGCAATATTGGTCTGGCAGTGAATGATTTCTTGGATATAACCCCAAAGGCACAGACAATGAAAGCAAAAATAGAAAAACGGGATTACCTCAAACTAAACAGTTTCAGCACAGGAAAGAAAACATCCAAGAGTAAAGAAATAAGCTCTTGTCTAGAGTCAGCCCTTCTCCCACCTCCCTAGGCCACTACTGTGGCAGATGGCAGCCACTCTCCGGCATCTTCCCTGTGGCAGTGAATCTGAATGCAGTGAGGGTGACCCTGGACGGGTTATCTACATCAGCCTCCACTTCTGGAGGAAGACAATCCTATGGAATTCTCACCAGTTCTGGAGGCTAGAAAGTGCAAAGTTGAGGGGCTTGCATTTCTTGCTACATCATCTCATGAAAGAACAAGAGCATGCTGCACACGAAAGTTCTGCTTGAGATTTCAAGAATTTTAAATAGTGGGTGAGATATGGAAGCTGACTATTTGTGTACAGCTTTGTGAAGAAGGAATTAACCTAGAAGCTTTATCATCAGAGTTAATAAGGAAGTACACAAGACTATGACAAGCTGACTTTCTGAGAAATCCTGATGAGATTTGTCAAGCTCCTTGAGAGGATTTGAAGATTTCGTTGTTCAAGAATGTTCAGTGAAATTACTGCATGCAGCAATGTAGAATTTTTTGCTTTTTATTTTTAATTTTTTTAGAACTGTGGATTAAACCCAGCGGAGCTTAACCAGTAAGCCACATCCCCAGCCCTTTTTATTTTTTATTTTAAGACAGGATCTTGCTAAGTTGCTTAGGGCCTCACTAAGTTGTTGAGGCTGGCTTTGAACTTGGGATTCTCCTGCCTCAACCTCCTGAGCCACTAGGATTACAGACATGCACCACCATTCTGACCTGAAGGGGTTTTAATAAGTTTTAGTGATACTTAGATGGCCATTTTCAATGCTTTTTTTTTTTAATCTCAACTTTTGACCATTTTGACTTTTTAAATGCATGGCATCTTCACCAAGTAAACTGAAAGGTCTATTATTAGCAGAACAAGTTGGGAGAAAATAAGAATTTGTGATAAGCCTTTGAATGATTCTAAACACTGCAAATTTTATCTGCTATTTAGAAGATCAAAGAGAATATTTTCTCAAACTCCAAAATTTGTATGTACTTCTAGACCATGAGAGTTGATAGTTTTATTTTTGGTTTTATAGAGTAAATGATTTATGTATGAAACAAAGTAGAAAAATATATTGAGAAAGGATTATGTTTATAGAGAACTTCTCAATGTGTCTTATTTCTTCAAATTTTTTGGCAGTATTGGGGACTGAAACCAGAGGTGCTCCTCTGAGCCACATCTCTAGCCCTATTTATTTATTTAGAGACCAGATCTGGCTAGGTTGCCCAGAGTTGTCTTGGTTTCTTTCCTTTTTTTTTTTCTTTTTTTTAACCAGGAACTGAACCCAGGGATGCTTAACCCTGAGCCACATCCCCAGCCCTTTTTATATTTTATTTAGAGACAGGGTCTCATTGAGTTGCTTTAGAGCCTCGCTAGTTTACTGAGTGCTGGCTTTGAATTCGCCATCCTCCTGCGTTAGCCTCCCAAGCCTCTGGGATTACAGGTGTGTGCCACCATGCCTGGCTACCCAGAGTTTTCTTGAACTTGTGTTCCTCTTGCCTCAGCCTCTGGGTAGCAGGGATTACAGGTATGTGCCACTGATCCTGGGTTGTTTTTGTGTTTTGTTTTGTTTTGTTTTACTTAGTTACACATGACAGTACAATGATCTTGACATATCATACATTTGAATCAGATGGGACATAATTTCTCATTTTTCTGAGTGTACAGGTTGCAGAATCACATTGGTCAGCAGTCACATATATACATACAGTAATAATAATGTCTGTTTCATTCTATTATTCTTCCTATCTCCCCAACTCCTCCCTTCCCTTCCCTCCACTTCTCTCTACCTAATCCTAGGGTAATGCTATTCTTTTTTTTTTTCACATCTTCATACATGTATTTTGTATAACAATGAGGGTCTCCTTCCACCATCCATGCAATTCCCTTTCTCTCTCCCTTTCCCTCTTACCCCTCTTCCCTGTCTAGAGGTAATCTTCTTCCCATGCTCTTCCTCTCTTCCCCATTTTGAGTCACCCCCCTTATATCAGAGAAGACATTCGGCATTTTTTTTTGGGGGGGGGGGGATTGGCTAACTTCACTTAGCATAATCTGCCCTAATGCCATCCATTTCCCTGCAAATGCCATGATCTTATTATTTTTTAGTACTGAGTAATATTCCATTGTATATATATGCCACATTTGTTTTTATCCATTCATCCATTGAAGAGCATCTAGGTTGGCTCCACAGTCCAGCTATTGTGAATTGTGCTGCTATAAACATTGATGTGGCTGTGTCTCTGTAGTATGCTGTTTTTAGGTCCTTTGGGTAGAGTCCGAGAAGAGGAATAGCTGGGTCAAATGGTGGTTCCATTCCCAACTTTCCAAGGAATTTCCATGCTGCTTTCCAAATTGGCTGCACCAATTTGCAGTCCCATCAGCAATGTATGAGTGTACCTTTTCCCCCGCATCCTCGCCAGCAGTTGTTGTTTGTCTTCATCATGGCTGCCA